TTTTTGGATCAATATGGTGGTGCTTCAGGTCAATGTGTCAACATAGATAAGTCCACAATTTTTTTCTCCAAGAATACCCTAGAGAGCACCAAAGTTGATATCTGCTGCCTTTTGAGTGGTATTAAGTGTGTGACTTCTTCCAAATATTTAGGTTTGCCTCTTGGTATAGGAAAATCCAAAATTGGTACTTTCAAGTTTGTTTCTGATTGTCCTTTCTAGGATTTCAAATTGGAAAAATGTGTTGTTGAGTGATTCCGGTAAGGAAATGTCATGCTTCGAATTGCCTGTTGGAGTATGCCATAATATAAGTAGGGAGGTTGCTAATTTTTTGTGGGGGAAAAATGAAGGTGGTGGTAACAAGATTCACTGGTCAAATTGGGACTTTCTGGCTCAACCTAAGAATTGTGGTGGTCTGGGATTCAAAAAGCTTAGGGCCTTCAATGATGCCCTACTGATCAAGCAACTTTGGATATTGTGCACTCAACCAAATCTCTTGATCAGCAGGGTATTAAAAGGTAAATACTATCCTGGAAAGAGCATCTTTGAAGCAAAACCCAGGAATGGTGACTCATGGATGTGGAAAAGGTGGTTGGGGGTCAGAGATTTGTTTGTTTTGGGTGCTAGATTCCAGATGGGGGATGGGAAGTCTATAAATATCTGGGACACTCCCTGTAGCTGGTGTGAAAGGCTTCAAACCTACATGCCAATTCTCTACAGATAGAGGAACTTTGGTGAGGGTCTGTGATCTCATTTGGCAGAACAGATTAGGGTGGGATAGGGAACTTATATCTCAATATTTTGATCCTTTGGAAGCTCAAGCTATTTTTAATACCCCTATCTCAGTTCTATGCAGAAAAGACAGACTTATTTGGCACTTTGGTAAACATGGCAACTTCTCAGTCAAATCTGCATATGAAGTGATCTTAAACTCTCTTAACATGAGGACAGAGGAGGCTGAATCTAGTGCCAGGGGTAATATTGGGAAATCTGTATGGAATGCAATCTGGAAACTTTCTGTTAAGCCTAAACTTAAACAATTTTATGGAAGGCTTGCCATAATTTTCTCAGTTACAGTGACCAGTTAATCGGAAGGAAGATGGATGTGGATAATATTTGCTGCAAGTGTGGGGATGCCCTTGAGGATGTTAACCACATACACTTTAATTGTAAGAGAGCTAAAGTGGTGTGGAGTTCATTGGAAAATGTTGGAACAGACAGATAGAACTTTCAAAGATTGGTGGAGTGAATTGAACAAAAGACCTTGGAATGAAAATCTTAAAGACAGGATTAGGTTATCAACCTACATCCTGTGGTGGCTTTGGAAGACAAGATGTATTTGGCTCTTCAAAAAAGAATAGATGAGTGAAAGGTTGGTTGTGGAGAATGCAAACCTGGAGTTGGACATAATTTGATCATGTTGCTGCCTCTGATAGCTTGAGAGATAGTTCTTTTGCTGTTAATAGTGTTATTTCAGTGGTTGATGAAGCTGATAGGGTAGGACAGTGGTTTATTACTGTCAGTGCCCAATATATATCTTTTGATCAATTCATGGTGGATTATATAGCCAACAATTAAGGGGAATCAGAGGTTCATTTCAAAGAGAAGTTGTGGTGCTCAGATAAGGAGAAAACCAAATGGCATGAGGCTGTGAGATGGATCCTTCTCAAAGCTGTGCAGTTGGGATGGAAGGTGGTCAGATGCAGCTTGGGCTACAAACCTCTGATTTTGTTCTCAATAGAAAGATAGTTGTTGGACCTGGTTGTAATGCTATTTTGTCAGATATTTTTGTTTTGTTATCTTTATTTGATAGCTGCTATTTCTGTTAATCTTTTTGGGTGGTCTCTTTTGGTATAGATCTTTTCTTGTTTTTGGGCTTTAATTCTTCTTTGCAAGGGATGCTTGACATTTTCCCTGGTGTTGTTAGCTATCAGTTGATGGCTCGATTTGTAATTGACCTTGAGTTCTATTTATAGTGTATTTATCGTTGGAAAAAAAAAGACTATTCATAAATGCAAAGTTGCGTGATAATTGCGTTGGATCGAGAACATTTTGTCAAATCTCTTGCCAATGCAACCAGATTTTGGCAAATAGAGGCTCTAAAGTGCCACTTGTCACCAGGGTAATGCCCATATGTATCTTATTCTTTTTACACTAGGAATACTCAGTTGTGCGATGCACAACTGGCCCACGCAAGTATTCTTCATTGAGCAATAAGTCAATTTTGTAAGCTGTTTCGATATAGTTCGGCAGTTTCCTGGAGTTCCACATGCTCCACAGTCGAACCCAAAAGAGTCACACGTACTCGTAATAGTCGACCGAGAAAATGTGGCTCAGCTTTTCGCGGTGAATCACTTCGTGGCACCTCCAAACCTTGTCCTTTGGGTAGCGTTTGCCGACGTAAAGCATCTCCCAAGGGACATGAAGAGCACTGGCAGCCGCACGTGCCGATAAGGTGAACCGTCGGATCTCGTCGATGTCCTCCCCTCTGTACAGGCATATCACCTTGTTGTCTCAAATCTAATCGAACACAAAAAAAAAAAAAATGAAAAACAAGTATCATGATGAAAAAAAAAGCACCATCTTTTTTGTTCTGTTTTCCTCTGTTTTCATGTTGTGTCTTTGAGTTTTTTTCTAGCTTGCTTTACTTGTCGGATAATCCCTTTACCGAGCAACCACACACCATAAAGAAGC